TTTCATAAAAAAATCGAAAAGAAAAAAATTCATTTTTTTTTCCCCTCTTTCAAATCTAACCGTCCATCTCTCACTCACCATCTCACTCACCTATAACAAACGAAACAAAAGAAAAAAAACCCCTAATCTATAATCGGCTCCCTCACTCTCTCTCTCTCTCGCTCTCTCTCAGTCTCACCATCACTCACTCACCATCTCACAGTCTCTCTTTCTCACTCTCTCGTTTCTAGCAGCCGATCATTCAACATGGAAACTTTCTGCACCGATCACTCTCTTTCTCATCTCATCGCTCCGATCATCATCGCACAGCCGATCAACTACTTCACAGGTAAACTCCCTCAATCTCTGTCTCTCTCTCTCCCGATCGTTGATTTTTTTTATTTTATATATATATATATCAGATATATATATATATATATCTCTGATCTGATCTGATCTGTCTCCCTCACTCTCTCATCTCATCAGTCTCACACTCACTCTCTGGTTTTGCATCTCTGCACCGATCGACTCACACACAGGTAAGCGTCTCTCTCTCTCTCTCTCTCCCTGATCTCTCATCTCTGATTTTTTGTGGACCAACAGATCTGATTTTTGTTGTGGACCAACAGATCTGATTCGAAATATGATCTTAGTAATATGATCTTAGTTGTGATCTGATTTTTATGACCTTAGTTCGAAATATTTATGATCTGATTTTTGTTGTGGACCAGATCTGATTCGAAATATGATCTTAGTAATATGATCTTAGTTGTGATCTGATTTTTATGACCTTAGTTCGAAATATTTATGATCTGATTTTTGTTGTGGACCAGATCTGATTCGAAATATGATCTTAGTAATATGATCTTAGTTGTGATCTGATTTTTGTTATGATCTGTATAGGTCAGTAATTCTTACTTCATATTTCACTTGTAAGTTGGTAGATTCAGGCTGGGTTTTGTTTTGTTTTTTTTGTTTTGTTTTTTTAATGTTGTTTGTGTTGATGGGTTGTTGTGATTTGGTAAAAAAATTGGTGTGTTGAAAAACATCCTTAACTTGGTCATTTAGAGAATTGCGTGTTGGATATGTTGATTGGTAAAAAATTGGGTTTTTCCTGAAGGCTGTGTTTGGATTTGGATTATGAATTTGAGTAATGATTTGGAAAGGGAAAGAAAAAGGAGAGTAAAATATAAGATATTTTATTTATTCATTTTTTTCTGTTTCTTTTCATTTTCCAAATCCCTACCCAAGTTCAACCCAAATTCTTGATCCTAAAGCTGTATCATGGTGGAGTTAATGGTTTTCATGATTTTTTTATTTTTTTTCCTTTGGTATTTGCTAGTTTGGGCTGTCTTTTGCAATTAGGTCATTGTCTTCGCATATGTTAGGTTATTGTTGTTGACTTTTGCCGATCATTGTCAATTTTAATTTTAATTTTAATTTTTTTAAAGTCAGAACTGCATAATTGGATAATCAGGAATCAGGATATGTTGATATTTTACTCCATTTTCTTATACTTTCGGAACCAGTGCCGCCAGGAAGTCTCTAAATCTTCAAAGAGAGAAAACTATAAGGAGCAACAGATTTTCTATTACCTATGTAAAATGAACAGTCACATTGGAACTGAGTGCAGTGTGTCAAACAGGGTTACTTTAAGATATTTATATGAACATATATATAAGCTGCAATGTGTGTAGATTATGTGATAAAATACCTTAAATTTTAGTTGTTTTACTTGTCTGAAAAAACATGTCTGTTTTTAGCGTTTGTCTCATGTCCATGGAAAATTCTGAAAATATGGTTAATGGATCCATATTTGTTTCGGAAGTTGCATGTGTTGCTTCCTAAACTTCAGGTATTTTCAAACATGGACCAATTCTTATTACATAAACTGAAAGTTACATGTTTCCTCTTGATTGTTTGTCCTTAGTTTAATTAGGGGGAGGGTCAAGAGGGGTGGGGCAGTAAAAAGAAGGTGATAGGGAATTGGAAAATTTAAAATATTAAACTTTAGTTGTTTTACTTGTGTGGAATAACATGTTTGTTTTTAGTGTTTGTCTCATGTCCATGGAAAATTCTGAAAATATGGTTAATGGATCCATATCTGTTTCGAAAGTTACATGTGTTGCTTCCTAAACTTCAGGTATTTTCAAACATGGACCAATTCTTATTACATAAACTGAAAGTTACATGTTTCCTCTTGATTGTTTGTCCTTAGTTTAATTAGGGGGAGGGTCAAGAGGGGTGGGGCAGTAAAAAGAAGGTGATAGGGAATTGGAAAATTTAAAATATTAAACTTTAGTTGTTTTACTTGTGTGGAATAACATGTTTGTTTTTAGTGTTTGTCTCATGTCCATGGAAAATTCTGAAAATATGGTTAATGGATCCATATCTGTTTCGAAAGTTACATGTGTTGCTTCCTAAACTTCAGGTATTTTCAAACATGGACCAATTCTTATTACATAAACTGAAAGTTACATGTTTCCTCTTGATTGTTTGTCCTTAGTTTAATTAGGGGGAGGGTCAAGAGGGGTGGGGCAGTAAAAAGAAGGTGATAGGGAATTGGAAAATTTAAAATATTAAACTTTAGTTGTTTTACTTGTGTGGAATAACATGTTTGTTTTTAGTGTTTGTCTCATGTCCATGGAAAATTCTGAAAATATGGTTAATGGATCCATATCTGTTTCGAAAGTTACATGTGTTGCTTCCTAAACTTCAGGTATTTTCAAACATGGACCAATTCTTATTACATAAACTGAAAGTTACATGTTTCCTCTTGATTGTTTGTCCTTAGTTTAATTAGGGGGAGGGTCAAGAGGGGTGGGGCAGTAAAAAGAAGGTGATAGGGAATTGGAAAATTTAAAATATTAAACTTTAGTTGTTTTACTTGTGTGGAATAACATGTTTGTTTTTAGTGTTTGTCTCATGTCCATGGAAAATTCTGAAAATATGGTTAATGGATCCATATCTGTTTCGAAAGTTACATGTGTTGCTTCCTAAACTTCAGGTATTTTCAAACATGGACCAATTCTTATTACATAAACTGAAAGTTACATGTTTCCTCTTGATTGTTTGTCCTTAGTTTAATTAGGGGGAGGGTCAAGAGGGGTGGGGCAGTTAAAAGAAGGTGATAAGGAATTTGAAAATTTAAAAGCTGGTATTAATTATGATGGTAGGTCAAAGGAAGCTAGGGTTAAAGAAGTTTTCTAAATGAAGATTATTAGTTGGAATGTCAGAGCTCGTAGCTCCATTAAGAAACGGGGTGGTTAAAGAAGTCTTAGTTGGTAATCCTACAAGAACCAAAATATTCTGTCTTGACAGGAAATTGATAAATAATGTTTGGAAATCTAGGTGTAGGAAGTGGGTTGTTTTAACTTCATGTAGTACTTTGGGTTTGTTTTAATGATGTGGGATGAGAAGGTTCATAGTGAATGTTAAAACAATAATGTGAGAATTTGTAGTGTTTGTGAGATTTAGGGAATCTTGATAGTCACAAATGGTGCTGGGGTGTATGGTCCTAATAAACCGAGGTTTAAGGATGACTTTGGGATAAGTTAGTTTGGGTTTTGTGCTCCCAATTGGTGTGTAGGGGGAATTTCAATGTCATAAGGAAAGTTTTTGATGAAAATAAATGGGAAAAGGGTAACTAGGAGCATGAGGGGCTTTGATACTTTTATTAGAGATTTTGATTTGATTGATTCTCGCTTGTTGAATGCTAGTTTTACTTGTTCAAATTTGTTGGATAGCCTAATATGTAATAGATTTAGATAGGGTGCTCTATTCAATGGGACTAGAGGAAATGTTTCCCAATGTTAAATAGGAGGTGCTTCCTAGGGTTGTATGGTCATTGTCCTATTGTTTTAGAAACTGGTTCATTTAAGTGGGGGTCTACTCCTTTCAGGTTTGAGAACATGAGGTTGGAACATCATTCTTTAAAGAATTTTTTTGAATGGTGAATGTAGGATTCAAGTTGGGGAGGCTTTAGGTTCATGAAGAAACTTAAAATGGTTTAGGATAAGTTGAAAGCTTGGAAAAGGAGGAGTTTGGGGATTTAAAAGAAATAAAAAATGAGATTTCTAAAAGGATCGAAGAGTTGGATAGTTCAGAGGCGAGGCAATCATTTGATGAGGTTCTTAGGAAAGAAAATGGTGGAGTTGAAAGCTAAGCTTGAAGAATTGATTTTTCGGGAACAAATATCATGAAAAGCAAAAGATGAAATGGCTGAAGGATGGGGATAACAATTCTAAATTGTCCCATAGAGTGGCAAATGGGAAGAGGAATAAGAAATTTATTTAAAAACTTGAAGGAGGTTTGGGGCATATTGTTGATTAATTAAGATTAGATTTGTGAAGGTTTGGAGATGTTTTCAATTGATGAAAATAAAGCTAGATGGTTGGATAGGCCTTTCCATGAAGAGGAGGTTAGAGCAGTTGTTTTTTATTGCAAAGGGATAAGGCTTTCAGGCTTGATGGCTTTTATATTGTACTTGTTCAAGATTGTTGGGAGACTGTTGAGCAAGATTTCATGAAAGTTTTTGTTATTTTTTTTTGAGAACGGTGTTGCTAATGATTGCACAAATGTATCTTTTAGTTCTTTGACTCCCAAGAAGCGGAGTTCGCTGAGAAATGGTGATTGTCAACCTATTAGTTTGGTTATCTCTTTGTATAAAGTTTTAGCTAAGGTTTTATCAAAAAGGTAACTTGTGAGCAAGTTTAGGAGATACCATCTCTTTGATTGGCAATTATCATAAGTCACTTGGGACTATTTCATCATTCCTTAATTTCATAGACACCTTTCACTCATCTCTGAATGTTATAGTACACTTTCCTTATGGAAAGATTTTCCCAGCAATTTTGAGTTTATGAGCTGCATCATGAGCTCTTTTTGCCTTTCATCTACAACTTTTTTGTGAGTGTTGCTGGAATATTTATTGGACCTCTCTTTAATATAAATACTTCTCAGTAGGAATTAATAATTATATTCTCTTACAAATTTATTTCATTATGATAACAACGACATTTTCCCCAATAACGAGGTTCTAGTGCTTCAATTTTGCAGCTGCCGGATAGCAAACTTTGGGGTGCTCCTCATCATTACGGTTTACGGCCATGTGTCAAACCTACCGCTAAATATAAAGGTTTTATCTCATTACCTTATCTCTCGTGTACTGATTTTGGGATTTCTTACCTGTACCTGAGACATTTTGGAATTGCATCACTGGCACTTTTGTGGGAGCAGAAGTTGCTGAGCATCTTGCAAGGGCATACCTTGCCTTTTAGGCCTCCAAGTTTTTTTATTGGTCTTGTGCATAATAGATGTCTTATTTTTCTAGGTTTCTTTTCATTATGGTCAATCTCTCTAAATTTGTAACTTGGGCGTGAAAGTTTATGTTTCTTTCTCTCTCTCAGCCCTCTAAAATTGATTTTGCAATCTCAGCCACTCAAGGATGGGATCGCTATATGACTGTGAGGAGTAATGGGGGACTGAATCAGATGCGTACTGGTGTAAGTAATGACTTCTTTCATCTATTAGTCTACTACAATCCGTGTTTATTTCTATTCATTTAAGAAAGTGCATGCTCATATGCTTCAGCTACTGTGTTATTAGTGTAACAAAATAATGTGGTTATTAAGGTAGCTCTGCTTGACTAAACATAGCATTCTTTTACACTTCCTATGCATTTTGCCTTTTCCTTTGTCATTCTCATGAGATTTTGACATATCCATGTTATTGGTGAAATATTATCTTCTTTTTATTTTATTTTTTATTTATTTATTTATTTTGTTGTAACAATAATAATGATAATAATAATACTTCAAAAATTGTTTGGTACTATTGGCATGATTTAACGGTAATTGATACAAATATGATATTCAAAACAATGCATAAAAATTTGCTAAGGGTTGTGAGGGAATCAATTGAAAGAAGTTGTGGCTAGAGGGGCAATTGAGATCTGCGATCATCTTCTCCGTCAAGGTAGCAATAGGAGAAAGTTACTGCAGTTTGTGATCTAATTATCGAGACTGAGGCCCTTCATCTTGGGCTTCGATCTCCTTCAGCTTTTATTCTTTCTTTTCCACTTTTCTTTTTTCAATTTGGCTCTCTTTGTTCAAGTCGAGGTGCTCTGTTGTTTCATTTTGAGGTGAGATGGCTAAATAGTTTTTCCAGAAAGATAAGTGTGGTGGCTGCCAGAGGAGGTGGCATTTAGAGGAATAATTGTGGCTCAGGCAAGAGGCGTGGTGGTTGGTAGAGTGAGGTTCCTTGCTATGCGAAATTGCTAATCTTAAGTTCGTTTGAAGGAATGTGATGTGGTGGTGGTTAGTAGTATGGGTGAGTCCAGTGGGCTGGTGAGAGAGTTGGAAGTGGTGGCAGTGAAGAATGGGAAGATGGAGGGGGTTGGGAAAGTTATTGATAATGTAGGAAATTCTTAAGGGCTGTTGGGTTTGAGAGTATTTGGGTGTGGTAAGGTGGGTAGATTCCATAGTGAGGTAGCATTAGGAGATTTTGTGATGGTCAGTATCTGAAAGAAGGGTTCAGGGGAGGGAGGGAGCATGAGATGCACACATGGAAGGCAAGTGGGGGTGATGTGAACATGAATGGTGGTTCTTGTGCAGTGGATGGTGGCTCAGGTCATGTGTGGTGGTGGTCTCTAGAATTTGGGTTTCTAATTTTGAAGGGAAGTAGGGGACAAACTTAGGATTTGTGAGCCCAGGTAAGATTGGTTCAGGATCTTTTGAGTTGTTCTGTCTGATCGGTCTCTCAAGATCTTTGGTCTCTACCCTACCCAAACCCGATTGAAAAAATGGGATCACTTCTTATGGACTCATTGAGAACTTAGTTGAAGAAGTGACTCATTCTTGGGCAAGTACGCGGTGGTCATTTGGTGATTTATAAAGGTGGAGTCAGCGTTGGGCTTAAGATCTATAATTTTAGGGTCATGCCCGTGGGTTAGGAAAGGTGTTGGTAACTTTGGGTTTGGAGGATGGATGAGGATCCGCAGAAGCCTTGTTATAATTAGTTGCGTCAGACTGTGGAATAGGGGCTAGCTTGTGTCGTGGTTTGAGAAATGTTAGCTATGGGCCTGTTTTTGCATCTATTGGGTTATTTAATTTGAATTCTAGTTCAGCGGAGAAGTCCAAACATGTGGTTGGGCCATATGTTCCAAGGTCTGTTTGAGGTAGGCCTGTGGTGGTTGGGGCATTTGTTCAAACAAAGACCTATTGGAGGTGGGCTTGGGGAGATTTGTTCAATGAATAGAAACATCATGGTGATTCTACTACCAGGTATGTTTGATTTTCTGGTTTTTGGTTCTGGGGAGGAGAAGATAGGCGATGAAGAGGCTCTGAAATTTTAGGCATAATTTTCAGATAAGCCTAATTTTAGGCATCCTAGGAAACCCGAATTGAAGTCACCAAACTTTATTAAAAAGTTATCTAAAAAAAATAAAAACAAATAAAAACAAATACAACAATGAAATTCTTCAATTGAACTTCATCCAATGCCTTCGCCTCTTCTATCATTTCTCTTTGGCAGATAAAAACTCTCATCCAGAGAGTTAAAATGGTAAAAGTACTGTCATGACCCGAATCCGCCCCTACAGGTCTGGATCATAATTGGTCAGTAATTTTGAGATTACCTACGACCTCGGACAGAAATCAAATCAAAATTAATCATATGGGGCCAGAAATGGAAGCAGAGTTATAAAATGTGCCCAGTAAGCTGTGCATAAATGGCATAAACAAAACTTCTTTTATATTAATAACTCACACCCATACAAACATAATAAAATTCTACGTGTCCAAGACCTTTCAAACATCATTGTCATACCAAAATAGAACTTATGTATATATACAAGGTCAAACATGACCAATAACAGAAAATAGAAATCCAAAAGACAAAAGAACGAAAGCCTTGCTCGTGAAGCGCTCATAACATAGTTCACAAAACTTGGTTTCCTTCACAGGTTCACTAAGGTTGGGGTTGGATATCCCGCTGCTTACTTACATACATATATATAACAGAGTGAGCGAAAGCCCAGTGAATAACATTAGAATAAAGGATTTATGTGAATGAGTTCTAGTAAATGACATAAGCATTTCTATATCATAAGCATTACATAATGGAATGATCTTGGGTCCAATAGATAGCAGAACGATCTTGGGTCCATCAGTTGTACAGAATGGAATTGATTATATCATAACAGAATGACCTCGGATCCAATCATTTACAGCTGTATAATGACCATTCGGTCAACTCATAACAGATAATCAAACTTATCAGATGTTCAGAAGGACTTTGGGTCCATCTTACCAAATGTACAGAACGACCTTGGGTCCATCACATTTATTTGTGACACATCAATCACATTTACAGATATCATATTGATTAGACAAATAGAAACTCATTCACGCTTACAGAATCACAATTTCGGAAAGGCTTATCACCAAGGTTCTGAAAAGTAGTTGCGGTCGCCGTAACGGTGGAGGTGGTGCGGTTGCGGTTGCGGTTGCGGTTGCGGGGTGTAAAGGCCGTAGCGTAATGGTTGTGGTTACCGGAATCGTGAATTTTTTTATTTTTCGCACAATTTGAAAAAAACTTACCGATGTGCATATTTTTTTTCCATGATCATATTTATTGGATTTAAAATAAATATTGATAAATTTTTGTAAATTTTTAAGTATGATCCAATATATTTCATATTTTTAAATCACTATAAGCAGAGTTTTTTACATTTTATTTTAATAATTAATGACTTTATATTATACAAAAAATCAATCACTAACTATTATATATAAGATAAAATAATACAAAAGTAAGAGAATAAATAAGAGCATAAATATATATATATATATATCCATATTTTAACCAAGCCAAATAGATAATGACCACACTTATTATTATTATTATTATTTTCAAATAATATATAGATAGACACACACAAACAAAATGGTTGAGTGATAGTAGCTGAATAGAATAGCATAGGTCTTACAGCTTCAACAAATCAATAACATGTTCTTTATCTTCCCTCTTCTCTCTCTTTCTCTCTCTATCTCTTG